AGGTAAGTAGGGTAAAGACATTAAGAAGCAAGTGAAGGTGTCAAGGGACGCTGGTAGACCTTTCCAGTCAGGGTCACTTCCTTTCTATGGGGTATGTGCATCAATCTGGACTCCTGTTACACTCTGCATGCCAGCATTTCTAGGATGTGGCTTCCTGTGTGTGGTTGCACATTTTTGTTTACATACCCCAGCTTTTGGATTCCTACTGCACGTAGGAGGAAGCTCTAGGAGTTTTGCTTAGTTCAGCGTTGCTCAGCTTTTTTGATTACTTTATTGGTAAGGGTTGCTTGAATGTGTGCCAGTATAATCATGTGGCTTTTTCCCCTTTTAAAGTGAAAACAAGAATAAGATGACTGCTCACCATAAACAGTGTAAATATGTTGTCTGCCATCTTGTCTGCCACGTATACCTGAATAGTTATAGTAAAATCCATGACGACCATAGAAACTCAGTCTCTGTTAAATGCAGATGTGAGAATTTAATATCTTATTGTCACAGGAGCATGTAGCAGGGAAGCAAGCTGCTATAGGAGAAAGGGCGTTGTGAGCAGATGGTGTAGACATGCAGCTGAAGAGTCAAAGTAAAGGCAGGGAATGGAGGATAATGCAGTAGGGTGGGTGACACAATGGTTTTAGAGCCATGGTCAGGAAATGGGTGGTGTTCAGTAGGTAGAAGCTGTGGTGATTAGTGGCTTACTGGACAGAAGACCTCTGAGAGCTGGGAAGTGGGTAAGAGAACAAAGTGAATGGGTACTTCATTGTGTGATGAGAGATTAATGTTTTAATGAGCATGGATTTTGGATAACCTATTTCTTAAATAGAAAGAGGATGTTAGTCTTAGCTCTGTGCTTTGCTGTACTCTAGCGGAAAGCTTGAGCTTTCAAAGTTAATATAATTGCAAGTTTCCACTATAAACTTTTTTTATTTCCCTTTATGCTTGTCTAGCAAAACTATTTTCTATATTGGAATTCCTAGGCTATCTCAAAAGAAAACCCCTTTTCTACTGTGTTTCTGTAAATAAACATGATGGTTGTAAGCAGGCTAAGGATCATTGAATCAGTGTAGATTTAAAATTGTCTTGTGAGCTGTTCATAGCTTTGTGCTACACTGATGCAATTGCTGTCAGATAAAAACACTCACTACATTTTAAGTCTTCCCCACCACCATTGCTATCAACTTTAATGAAAATAAGTATTTCACTCAGTTAGGATGTTTATAAAATTAGCAGAGGCTTGTAGGAAGAGAGAAAAATATTTGGTGTTGTATTGCTGGGAATATTGATGTTGTTTGAGAATATCAAACAGTGAAATGACTGGTGCCTGTTTGTAGTGATCTTTGTTCTTTAAGTATTTTGAGACTGCTAGCTGTTTGGAACATAACATAAAAACAGTGTTAAAAGTCAAACTGAATCCTTATTGTCTTCAGTACTCTTTAACCAGCAATGGCCAGGGACTAACATGCACAGAAAGACTTCCAGTGCATGCTGTGTACTTCTGTGGAAATCTCCCAGATTGTGTACTGCTTACAGAACCCATTTAGAAGCTTTCTTCTAATAACTTCCATCTTCCTGTGAAAACAGTCTAATTCTTATGTAGACAAGAAATTGGCCTTTGACAGGTTAAAAAAAGATAATTTCAGTTGCCACCCTCTATTTCTTGTCTGGAAAAAGGAGAAGTAATTGTTTCTTGTGCAGTTCTACAAAGCTGTTCTTCCTCTCTGCATGTTCTCTCTACCCTTTTCATTCTTCTTTTCTTCACTGTTCACCTCTTTAACAGATAGTACTATAATGCTGACCACTTTTGTTTTTCTTTTGTTTACTTTGTCTACATGTATCATTTGAGGTAGATGATTGTGGAAGATAAATGCCTGCTTTTACTTTGTTTCAGCTACACCAGAAACTTCCAGTTAATTTAAAGGATGGTTTAGTGAGACCGCTGTGTGCTAACCTTACCTTCTCTGAAGGTTCCTTCAGTTGACTGACATCTTTGCAGTAACCCTGAGCACGGTCAGTCAGTCCATCTGCTTGAACTATCTAGAAAGACCAATTTAACAGATTGTAAAATGTTTAGGATGTCACTGGCTGTTATAGAATACCTTGTTCCTTACCGTGCTAACATAATCTGTGTCTAATGAGATGTTCCTTTTCTTGTGGATACCCTGCAAACTTTGAGCCTGAAAAAAAAGTTGAGGCAATGTACCTTCTTGTGACTTTAATGTCATGGAACTCAGTAGACTAAGCAGTTCCCTTTTTGAAGATCATAATCCTTTCGAACTGATTTTTAGGATTGCTTCATTAAATCATCAGATGGTTTTGTAGTCTCCATCCTCGTAGAGTTTTCAAGACCTGCTTGAATAAAACCCTGTATGATTTGGACTGACTTCATAGCTGAACCTGCTTTGAGCTGAAAGTTGGAACAGAGACTTTGTGAGGTCCCTTCTGACCTGAATAATCCTAGGATTGTTCATTTATCTACATCCCACAGTCTGTGGTCATACATGTTGGATAATTGCTGAAACAAAGGATTTAATACTGAGTAATTGCTGTCGTCTCCTTGGCAAATACTTCAAAAATAAATTCATCTTTTCTTACTAAACAAGGGAATAATTTCCAGGACTTAAACTGTTCACTTAACAGTACAATACTTAGTAAGTATAAAGAAATACTCATTTATTAAGTCACAGCTGTTTGTCCAGTAGATTTTTAGTATGTGTGTATCTTGTCTGATTTCAGAAATTATTTTTTACTTGAAAGGCGTAATTGGTTTGAAATTGAATGTAGGAGTCATCATTTTATTTCATAAAGCAAGTACTGCACCTTATCTTACATGTTTGTTTTTCTTCTAAGACAGAACTGGTCTGATGCCAACCAAAAAGTTGGTGGAATGGCTGACATCTGATAGTAGCTGATTCTCACAAAGATCCATTTTGAGTAAAAAGACTGGTAAAATAACTTCCAAAATGCATTTGGGGCCTTATACTTACGGCCTTTTAGGTGAAGATCTAATATTTCATTAACAACTTCCTAGAAATTCAGTGTTCCTGTGGAATTTTTACAACTATTACTCATTTATAGAATATAGCTCTTGAAAACATCTAAATCCGAAGTGGAAACAAGTATTATGTTCTTAGAAATCTGTATTTAATGGCATGCATTAGCTGGGGAATGGTTTGTGTATGCTGTAGTGGACTTCTGGTATGTCTGTCTGGTGTCTCTGACAGATGTCATTTGCAAATACTGTAAGGTTGTGTTAATTTGAGCTAGTCTTAGTTACTGGCTAGGGTAAATTTTGAGTGCTCTCCTTTTTTCTGTTGTTTCCTGTAATCCAAAGTGACTGTTTTCATGGACAGGATGCATTGCTACAGGATTTTTGTAAGGCCTTTCTGGATCATACCACTGTTTTTGCAGTCATTTATCAAAAGGCAGATCATTTCTCAAAATGATTTTGTTCTGTCTTAGCATTACAAAACCAAAAAGAACAGTGTTGGGTGTTTAGTGATTAAAATAGAATCCTTTTTATAAGTCTTCGTCACTGCATGCAAGCAGTGAAGTACAAAAACCAATAAATGCGTGTTTCTAACTGGTAAGTAAATTTACTGGATCAAGTGTTCTGTTCTGCCGACAGCTATCAGTGCAGAAATGTAGATGAAGCATAAAAGGTGTGATGTGGTTCATAAAATAAATGTGGTTTGCAGTCCACATGAGAAAAGTATGCCTCATGTTTCGGAAATATTAATGTTTTCAGGGGGTTTAGATGACAGTAGTAACTGTTCCAAATACTTATTTGGAAACTTTTTGTTTTCTTTTGGTTTGCAGTTGTCGAATCACCAATGTGAATGTGACCTTCAACATAACCCAGTCCAACTGTCCATCAATCACCAATATTTCGTATTTTCCACTAATCCACATCCCTCAGTACAACATCTGCATGTTTCTTGAACACCTGAGGGATGGTGACTCCACCACCTCCCTGGGCAGCCATTCCAATGCCTGATCACTCTTTCACAGAAACTCTTCCTAACATGCAACCTGAACCTCCCCTGGTGCAACTAGAGGCCGTTCCTTCTCATCGTGTCACTAGTTACATGGAAGAGGAGGCCAACCCCCAGCTCGCCACAATCTCCTTTCAGGGAGTTGAAGAGAGCAGTAAAGTCTCCCTCTTCTCCACTCTGAACAGTCCCAGCTCCTTCAGCCATTCACTGGACCCCTCACAGCTTCACTGCCTTCTCTGTACACACTCCAGGGCCTCAATGTCTTGTAGTGAGGGCCCAAAACTGAACACAGTACCTGAGGTGCAGCCTCACCAGGGCTAAGTACAGAGGGACAAACACCTCCTGCTGTTCACAGGATGCTGTTTCTGACACAAGCCAGGATGACATGGACCTTCATGGCTACCTGGGCACACTGCTGGCTCGTGTTCAGCTGAGCATTGACCAACACCTCCAGATGCTTTCCCTCTGCAATCTTACAGCCACTTTGCCCCAAGCATGTAGCATTGCCTTGCGTCACTGTACTCTGTTCAGCCTGGGAAATCTGGTCTTCAGTTTGTGCTGATTGCAGCATTTGTTTAATCTTTCCATTTACAAGATGTTCTCTATCTTACTTAATGTTGATAATCATTATTTCAGTGCCATGTTGTTTATGGCATGTTTCTGTTTATCATGAAACTCAGATAAGCCTGTGAGATATTAGTAATGCCAAGCGTCTGATGTCTTAAAAATATGTTAGATTTATTTTGATGTATATGAACTCGGTGGCCTACCTTGCTGGTTTTTTTTTTCTGTCACTTTCTTGAAGCTTCCTAGTTCTTCAAAAAATTGACAAAACCTCAAAAGTAAGAAAATTTATCTGTTTCTCTTTAACGTTTACAGTATAGATACGATGGTTTTTTGTCATAAAAGTTTATGAAGGCAAGGTAACTGCTTAGAGTACACAGCATGTTTCTTTTTCTGTTTGTTTTCAGGTGCAGGTGGAAGTATCTGACTGTCTTTCATTCTTCACAGGGTTACACATCCTTCTGGAATGATTGCATCTCCTCAGGATTGCGTGGCTGCATGCTAATTGAACTTGCGTTGCGTGGACGTCTTCAGCTAGAGGCTTGTGGAATGAGGCGCAAAAGTCTGCTGACTAGAAAAGTAGGTGGAGTTGTGGTCAGTTTTGCTTTTGAGTTGTGTTTCAGACAGTGCAGTAGCTATAAATTACAATCAGTTGTAACAAAACAGGCTTTTTAATATCTGGTTAGAGGTTGAGTAGTGACTTAAGCTGCATGCATAGAGTTTAAACAGCGAGCTGAAGTGCCTTGGAAAATTTTCTGTACTTGTTCACAGCTCCTGTTTGTTCTCATTGACATGTTCCTGCTGCACTTGGGAACCTTTCATAACCAGTTGGCAGTAGTGGTGGCCTGGGTGCCATGGCAGCAGTTGCTACTAGGAGCCAGCAAACACCAGCTGTGATCTGCTGAAGGAACTGGCTCTTGTAGCATGAGCGAGATGTGGGCTGGGCCTGATAAGGACAACTCACTGGCAGTGTGCTAGATGCATCCTGAATTGTAATAGGAGGTATCTCTGTGATTTGGTCCCTGGGAATGCTCAAATCTGTCTAGCTAAAATGGTTTTGGTCACTTATGTTTAAGGTGGGTTTTAAGGTTCCTGATTGAATTAAGCTGAAGATTAGAAGCTTTAATTTATTCCTTCTGCTGCTGGATTTTTCCTTTACAAAATGTGCAAAAGTTCTTCGAAGAATTTTTACTTCATCAGCTTTAGTGGATATTTTTAAAATAACTTTACTGAATGCATGGTCAGATATTTCTATTCACCACAAATAAATTCTCTTTTGTGGGCTATTTCTCTATCAATATTATGCTTTGCTGATTTTTTTTTTTCTTAAAGGAGAGCTTCCAAGTTCCCCAAACATCTCTCAGCTTCCCTCTTTACTGAAGAATTGAACCTCTGTTGAGGCAAACAGCTCCTACTTCTTTTAGGTTTATGTAAGCATATTCAGCACTTATTAGTTTGCACAATCTTTTTTTCCCCCACAAAGCTTTTGGCTCCTTAGGCATTCAGGAATGTTCTTTAGCAGTTATTTTCTTTCTGTGCAAACTTTGTCAGGTCTGCTTAACTGAAGTTTTAACTGTGCTTTTTAGGAAAATAGAAAAATAACCTGTGCCATACCTTTACTGCAGCATACAAACCAAATTCTTGTATTCCTCCTTATTTTTAAGCATGTGATTTTGGGGTTTTGTTTGTCTGGTTTTTGACTTTTTTTTTTTTCATCTTTTAAGGAAAGCTGAAAGCTACATAACGTTTTAATGCTTTATTCTTTCTGTTGTTGAACAAAACAACAAATCTAGAGATTGCTTTGCAGGCAAGAGAGTTCTTTGGAGAAGATTTAATATAAAATTCAAATGCAATTGATTTCTACCTAAGGAACTTTGTGCAAGTAAAATTCCTAACTACTGATATATAGTCTGGTGTTTCTTCTCTCCTTCTTCACTTCTCTGTACAGAAATCGTTCTTGTATTGTTTCCTGTGTTATTTCAAGTCTTGCAGTGTTTAATATTGTGTAGCTGTTCTGAGAACTCGGTTCTCTGATTTGTAACTCAAACTCAAACCATGTTATCGTTCCAGCCATGTTCTGAAGGGGAAAGCTTAACTTTCAGTTATGTCAGTTGGTGCTGCAGCTAAGAAGCGCAGTTCTGTCTTTGCAAGGAGGCTTTTTTTGAGTTTCCCTTTAGCTGTTAATACTGTTTGTGCAGCCTTATCAGGTAATCACTCTGTCTTAAAACTCATTCACTTCTCTGCTCAGTTAAATTTTTACTTGAATCATTGTCTTGATCTTGTCATCAGAGGTGGAACACAAGCAATAAGCTGAGGGGGAACAGCAGGACTAGTTTTTTGGACAGTATGCAGGATCGTAACTGTGCTTAAATGCCAGATACAGATGAAACTAAGAAACTGGCAGAGAGGTGATGAACTTTAGGAAAAACTTCTGATAGCCACTGTGACTGGTCTCTGTGTTGGTATGTCCTAGTGAATTTGTCTGGAGAGTATATAGTCACTGTATTATTTCAGAGTTCTATCTACTGGTGTCACAAAGAAAGTTGAGGTTTGTATGTAAATAAAATAATTTCTAAGACTAATGGTTGTTGAAGATGGAAAATGGAATTTTGTGCTGCCTTTTACCCTTTCAGAAAGCAAAACCAATAATTACAGCTTTTTTTCTTGAAATGAAAGAAATCTCAGGAAACCCTTGGATTAACCTCTGTTTTATAATTGACAATTCTGAGCAATTCATGCGTGAGTGATTTTTTTATTGTTATTACTAAAACTAAGTAATGAAGAGTTCACTCGGGAAATTAGTGCATGAGGTGCTTAATCTTCAGTGCTGCTTAATTGCAGAACGATGTTGTGGAAAATGCAAATTAAATACTTTATACTATTGAAATATTCTTAGTGGCTGGATAAGAGGCACATCCAGTATGTGATAAATTCCTGAAGAATTGGAGTAAAGAAAGATTTCTGCAATAGGTCTAAGGATCATAATCTCTGAGTAATCAGGTTTGTAGCTTCTTTACCTTTACCTTTGTTCATCTATTAAAAAGAGGAAAAAATATTCCCCCATGTGGATACTTTGTCTTCTATGATGGTTCAATTCACAGCATGCCCAACTCACTCAATTTCCACTCTTCTTGTGCTTCAGTGACTCTGGAAAGAATTAACCGAAAGATATTAGTCAGTAAATCCTTGTCCAAGAAGGCAGATTTGTGAGTAGAGGAAAAAGATGGTAGAGCTCCCCTTACTGCATGTCTCTGTGTGCTGAGAGAGCAAGAAGAAAAAATACTGTGGAATTGTAAAGCATAATTGTAAAATATATATATTTTATATATTTATATATATATTTTACAATTATATATATATATTTATATATATACACACACACACTTTTTTTTTTTTTTTTTTTTTTTTTTGAGGGGAGGATAATTGAAAGAATCTGTTTAGGGATCGTTCTGTTTAGCAGAGAATTGAGAAGAGACAGTGCTCTGAGTGCCTTGCTGCAGAGATAAACTTGGGGGCAAAAACCACCACATTTTGTGGCTTCACAAGGGCTCAGAGAGACCTGATAGAGTTGAATGGAAGATTGTGCTCCTTGTAGCTTTCCTCTAAGTGCCTGTATGTTTAGGCTCATTCTGTCATCATGAATCATGTGCTGACTACCTTCTTAAGCTTCCTTGCAGTGGTAATAAAAGGTTTCTTCACTCCATGTAATCAAGGGAAGCTGTTTTCTAAACTTTGTAAGAGATTTTCTATGTGTTGTTTTTTTGCTGATCTTTAAAAAAAGGCATGAAAGGTTGCTATTAATAGAACACAGTGTAGCAACCAAAAACAGTTGAAACTTGCTCTGATGTATTTAGAGAATAGAAACTTCCAGAAGTTCAGAAAAACATGGTGTGAAACTGGAAGAGATTTGATGACTTGGTGTGTGTGTGGTTAATGAGGTTTTTGAGTTAAGCTGAGCTACAGGCTTGTAAATCAGAAAGATGCACGTGTTCGGGTTTGTTTTTAGTAGGGTTTGTCTGGACTAAAATTAAACTCTAAACTCCTGATTGATACCCACTTTGCAAAAATATTTTGCATGATTTATTTTTATATCTAAGCAAATCTAATTCTTCTTAGCCTGTCATTGTTGACTGTTCCATTCTTGCTGATTTTATTCAAATTTCAAATTGAGTGCTTTATGCATGCTGTCTAAAATGGAAATAAAGTTCCAGAAATGACCTGATATCTATATAGAGATCTTTCCTGTGGTTTTCCTATTAACACAGCTTAGAATGAAATTTTCAGCTTGCTAAAGGACTTCCTTTTTGTTGATTCATTTGACTTGCAGCCTGCTGCTGGAGGGTTTTTTGTTTTGTTTTTTTTCTGTTCTGAATTACATAGTGATGCATTGAATCTTTCATGTGCTCCTGGTTTCTCATCCTGACTAAAATACTTGCATTTCTTTCTCATTTCACGTTGTTGTCTTTGGACATATCTCTGGTTAAGGATAATCTTGACATTACAGAGCTGTCCCACTCATTTTGTTCTGTTCATCTGCAGACTATGAAAACACAACTCCTCTGTAGCTTATAGTATGGATTGTTTGATTGACAGAGCTAAACTTGGGCTGTATTTCTTTGGAATACTTTAAGCTTTTTCTATGTGATAGCAGGCACCTTCTGACTATTGGGAAGCTTTGCCCAAAAGTAACATTTCTTACCTGCTGCTTCTCCTGTAGATGTGGAATTGTTTTGATGTGGTTGAGTTTTTCTTTGTTTCCTGTTATTTCTTTACCTGCATATAAAGTGCCAACTGTGAAACAATTGCCAGATTTAATCATTTGCATAAGCAGCTTTGTATCTGGCCATTAGTCTTTTCCTGAAGAAATACTGTTGTGGGAAAGAGGAATATCTTCCTTATTAAATACATTGACTCAGGTTACTTAAATCTGTATCTTTTCAGTTTCATGCTGTTGTCTTTTAACCAGAAAAGCTGGTATTAGTGCATGGTTTATATAACTGCTTGTACTTTTAAATAAGCAGTTGCTCAAATTCTTATGCTCTGTTATGTTACTGTGAATGATTTTTTCCCCAGTGCTCTCTGGGGGAAATAATTCAATTAAATCATTTTAAAATTGACAAGCATTAATTCCTGTAGTGTGCAATACCAGTTTTTGTATGTATATAGTTTGCTTAACTGTTAGTGAATGGAAAGTAAAGTTTCTCATCAGTGTGTTCTGCAGAGCTGTAAAAATTACAGATGTTCTGTTGAGCTCATCATTACCCAGTGATCTTTGAGAGAAGAAAACCTGCTTTTTTATTTTTCTAATTGATTTCTCAACTTTGTGTTGCCCAGTTAACTGCAGTTTGTTCAACTGGTTTGAAACAGTGAAGTAGACTGCCACCAGAGAACAGTTTAAACTGTAGTGCATTTTTTGTTTTGAGGAGGAAAGGAAGGACCACCTTAGTGGTTTATCTTCCTTAAAATAAATAACAGTTAGTGTTAACACATGCTTAATAGCTATAGTTTTAGTTAATTAACTTTTGATAATAGATAACTGACTCAACACTTTTTTTTTTTTGCAATTAAAATATTGAGTAGCCTTTTAATGAGATATTTTTAAAACTTGCATATTCGTAACAAAAAGATTTGTCACTTTTTTATTTCCCTTTGTTCTCATTACAAGTAGATTTTCTTCTTTTTTTTTTTTTTTTTGTTATTGGATGTTTGTCTTGTATGAATTAAGTGAAAATACTGTGTTTTATTCTGTTTTAGGTGATTTGCAAGTCTGATGCTCCTACAGGGGATGTTCTGCTTGATGAAGCTCTGAAACACATAAAAGAGACCCAGCCTCCTGAAACAGTACAAAATTGGATTGAACTGCTTAGTGGTAAGCCTTGGACATAATGTATTTGCTTTTTTTCTCCTCTCAGTAAAGCTGGTTACTTGGAATCACTAGAGATTATACTGTTAAATTTTGGAGAAGAAATTATGCAAAAATTTAATTAGTCTTCCTTCTAGAGTAGTCTCTTGTTGATTGTAGCCTTTAATCAAAAGTAAGTAACTGTTGCTTTCAACTTGGTACAGAAAGGATCTAGGTAGAAATGTCAGAGAACACCTCAGCTCTGCACTAAAATGTGTCTTCTGGTAATCTGAAGTGAATCAGGACTCTGCCCTGGAGCTATAACTATCTTTACTGTCTTTCTTTGTAACTGGAAATGAAAGCTACTGGAAGCCTGGAGCATGGTCATTTGGATTCAGTGCTCAGAACTTTGGATAAGAACTTAAGAAGCTACCTGTATGGTTGTAGAAATTGAGAGTGAAAATTCAGCCGTCAGTCATAAAGAAATAATAAAGATGAGTTCTTTATTACCTGGAGAAATGTAACAAATATTTTCAAACACTGCATCGCACTTCTAGTTGACCTAAATGAAGGGTTTGTGCACCAATCTTCATATAAAGCTAAACGTTTTTTGCAAAACAAAAAAAAGGAGAGGAAATAAACATCAGTTTGATTTCATCTTTACAATTGCAGTTAAAACTCTTCATATAACTCTACAACAGTTGTAGTGTGTACTGGTTTTCTTGCTTTTTGTTTTTTGTTTTTTTTTTCTGTAGCGGGAATTCTTTGCTAAGACTCACCTGTTTTTACAAAACACACAAAATGCAACTTTTCTGCAGAAGATCAGAGCTGTACTTCAATGATGTGAATAATGGAGGAAAAAATGAAAACCGTTTTGTCAAGAACATGGCTTTGGAAGGAAGGGGACTGTGAGACTTGGGATTGTTCACCTGAACCTGTTTGTTACTTGTAGAAACAGATGAGTTTCAAAACTGAGCAAAATTTTCTCCAGTTCTCTACTTCTTTGTGTTTATGTTCTTCCTGCACTACCTCAAAAAGCCTGCCTTGCTCTTCCATATTCCGTTTTTTCCGTTCCTTCTTTCTAGTTCAATGAGTGTTGGTCAGTGGATAGAGAGAATGAGAGTTCTTGTCAGTAGGGGGCAGGGCTGCAGCACATCCCCACGATTTAGGCTGTTCTTGCTCAGCTCTCCTTCGCTTCTACAGCTTGTAAAGGCAGTTGTTTTCCTCTTCACAAATACTGATGTTTCACCTTATCAACATCAAGTTAGTACTGATTCAGAAAAGATCATGTAGTTAATGAACTATCTTGTAGGTTTTCCTTGAGGCATGAGCCTCATAAACTTTGGCTCCAGGAAAGTTAATATCATTAGTGCTTTGACTGAGACAGATCAGTATTTTTTGCTTGCACATGAGTATTTAATTACTGGTTCTTCAGTGGCATTAGGGTACTTTGCATTTCTCATAGTTGAGATCTGCCCTTTGAAGAATATTTTAATGGATTCTTTACTCCGGAGCCTGATCCAGGGAAAATAGTTATTCCAGCCATTGTTATCAGAAGTGCAAGAATGCTGCTTCTGTTCCAGTGCATGCGAGTTCAAAGCCGTTGTGGAAATCTTTATATGGATGTTGGAAGCTACATTTGCTGGGCTTATAAGATAACCTCAAAGAGAGGCAAGTATACGTAATACAGAAGTTTGGGTCGAAAAGCCAAATCTCCCTGTAGGGGGAAAAAAAAAAAAAAGCCATCCATCTTTATTGGAATAAATGTGTAGTGATAGAGGTTGGTCACAAGGTGTCACCACAGCACTAATTCTTATCATCGCACAGCCACCTACCAGATTCAGAAGCAGCTAGGAAAAAATGTTCAAAAGGACATTGCCTTTTTGGGAGGTGATGGTGTGTGATAGTTTCATTCATGTTCAGGCTGGACAATCCCACAGCAGTAAGGAGTGGGACCTACAGGACTTCTTTTACTACGCAGTTGGCGTCACCCCATTTGTTTACTTGACTTGGCTGTTACTTGCATACAGTTTGTCACCTTGCAACAAGTGGGAAAGACTTAAATTCTTCTGTGTTTTTATTTATTATTACTGAAAACTAACCAAAAAATAGAAACACAGTGCTGTAGAAGTTGCCATATTGTTTATGGAAAAGCTATTTCTACATAAGAAATGTTCAGTACTGTTTCTTTCCTCACCTGTAAAAGTGCAATGGCTTTTTAATATCAGGAGGAGATCTTAATGCTGAAATACTGAGGTAAGCTGACCCTAAAGATATTAGGTGAAGTAAACTTCTAAACGGAGATGGATTTCTCAGTGCTTAACAACTTCAGTTTCATATGTAGCTGTTGACATTTTGTGCTTTAAAAATTCCCTTCTCTGAAGTGCATACATGTGCTCTGAGGTGCTCTTGAGAGGAGCAGAAATGGAGAGCATAAACTTGAGGAAATAGAAAAACCAGAGTCATGTAGGATAGCCACATATTAGCTGTCTTTATGGCAGAAAGAATGGCAGTGACAGTTCCTCCCATCTCTGAATTGGTAAATACTGGAAGCAGACAAATATGTTTTAACTTTTAATTAGCCCTGAACAAGTCAGGCGACTGGTCTAGACAAACTTGGAAAGTTCCTTCCAACCCAACTATTCTGTTCTAAATACACAAGGTTGGAGGAAGTGCTTTTTAAATTGCAAACAATAACTGTTTTTGGTATCTCTAGTAAAACTCTTTGTGGTTGTTCTTCATAAGTACAAGAGTGCTTATTTATCATATTCTTGGTCAAGGCATGACTTAGCTAACACTGAATCCCAGCTATAAACATACCCTGAAACTCTTCAAATTTGTTCTCATGTTTTGTGTCCTTATCCATGTATCTGGATAGGTCAGAGATCAGAGAAGTGCTGACATGACCACAATATCTTACTGTAGTAGTCAGCTATATGAATCTGACAGCTCATTCTGCACCACAGGGAAGAAAATAACTGTAGTAGTTCAGCTTAGTTTTTGCCTGACTAGCTTGTTTGTTTGTTTGTTTGTTTGTTTTTAGGTGAAACATGGAACCCGTTGAAGTTGCACTACCAGTTACGAAATGTCCGTGAACGGTTAGCTAAAAATCTAGTGGAAAAAGGTGTACTGACCACAGAGAAACAGAACTTCCTTCTTTTTGACATGACTACGCACCCGCTCACCAACAACAACATCAAACAGCGCCTCATCAAGAAGGTTCAGGAGGCGGTTCTTGACAAATGGGTGAATGACCCCCACCGCATGGACAAGCGCTTGCTGGCACTCGTTTATTTAGCCCATGCTTCAGATGTCCTGGAGAACGCTTTTGCCCCCCTTCTGGATGAGCAGTATGATTTAGCCACAAAGAGAGTGCGGCAGCTTCTGGATTTAGACCCTGAGGTTGAATGTATGAAAGCCAACACAAATGAGGTTCTGTGGGCTGTTGTAGCAGCTTTCACAAAATAACTGCAATCAGACTGAAGTGTTCTCTTTTCTTCCATGTAAACCAGTTGTTTCTCTTCTATTGACTATTCATATTTCCTGTAATTTGTACCTTCTCACATGATGAATCAGCTCTTGTTTAATGGGGATTATAAATGGTGTATTCCTTCCTTCTCTGTGCATTTGTATACAGGGTTCTGCTGGTACAAGAGAGCTTCCTGTTTAACACAACAACAGAAAAAGGTTTTACTGCCATATTGGCATTGCATTTCATGTTAAGTAGGAGTTATCTGAAGTACTTTGGTTACTCTGTTTTTCATTTTATTGTTACTGAAGTGGTTTAACATGGAAAGCACCTCAAGGAAATGTGCATGCAATTGGATCACTAGTCTCAGCTGACACAGATGTGTGCATGCATCAGTACTTCTACAGTATGATTCATAGCAGATCAAAAAGGGCCTTTTAAATCACCAAAGCTCTATGTTGAAGTGTCTGTCAGGGCATTTTATACACAGACCTTTATTTCAATTATGTCTAACAAAATTACTTTAAAAGCAGAAATTCCGTTAAGCAGCTTTGTCAATGGTCCTGTGAAGATGCCCTATAAAGTTTTACTTTTCATGTAAGTCTCTCATGTACTTATACTTTCATTAGAATGATAGTTGAGTCAGAAGGCTAGTGTAGAAAGGTCCAGTTGTTTCATAAACCAGTTTGGGGATGGAATACATTCCATTATATTGTATATATAGTTCAAGTTGTATATTAACAACTGCCCTATCTTAGTATTTTGCAAGATCTATTTAGTTGTACGCCTGGTGCCCCTTACTTGCTGTCAGTTGTTGCCATTTGTTGGAAAGAAAGGCCTCTTATAAAGAGCATGTATGTGAAAGCTTTTTGTTTCCAGTGTCTCCCGAGTTTGCCATCCAGATATTCTCAGTCTATACATTGCCTTTGATAATTAGTGTACAGAAAGAGACCACTTTCTGTCATTGTTAAGCGTTTGTTTTTCTTTCCCCTCCTGTATGGAAGATGCTTGTGACCAGTACAGTTCTTGAGTGCAGTTTTAATTTTGTTTGTACGCAAGTTAATGTTTGTCTAAGTGTCATAATCTATTTTACACTTTAAAACAAAGTCAGTCCTAGCAGGTATTGCATGTACGTGGTTTGCAAGTAATGACTGCAGTTTGGATGATTAAGATTTCTGCAGTGGGACACTCATTTTAATTTTTGTATACAATTATGCTGATTACCCCACTGCGGGGGGGGGGGCCCCCCAAACAACAACAAATATTTACAACTTTGGCTTTTTAAAATTTATTGCCTCTTGACCACTCCTTGTTACATCTCCCACAGTTTTCACAATGTAAATATTATGCATTGAACAAATAAGTATTGGTTTATATAATTTTTTCCTCATAACGCAGATTTATAGCGGGGCTTACAGGTGTTTAGAAATGTTATTGGTTAATATTCAGAGCAAGAATACTAGATGGTGTATAACTGTAGAGTTGAAATTTAAGGAATCTCTTAATCTGTATACTAGCTTTTTACCTACAGTAAATAAACTATGATCTTGAAAGTGCCTGAAACAGAGCAAGCATGTCATTTTTTATTTTCTGTTGCTAATTAGAAAGGTTTTATTGCTTAACTGAGAGCGTTAGTTAATATCCTTCTTATTAGAAAGGGTGAGTTTATACTGCATAGATCAGTGGCGTTGCAGCGTTCATGACAGAGACAGGCAGAGTTAGCTTGTGAGTGTGCAGCTGCGCCTGCCCAGGGAGGCCTCTTCTGTCATGAGCACAACGCAGCCTCATCTGTGACTGGACTTCCAATTTTGCACTTCATTTCAAATTATTTAGATGCTTATTTCAAATTATTTAGTAGCTTAGTTTAAAACACAAATTAAATTCATGATTACATTTTTTAATAAGGATTTTAAAAACATGCTCCTTAACATTTAACACCACTCTGTTCATATCAGTACTTAAATGCTGTTTCTTTGGGGGGGGAGGAAGGGGGAAAGATGAAACTATAAGAATATTATAAAGTATTTCAAACTCTGGTTTACAAATAAAAAGATAAACAGTGTTTTCTCAGTTGTGAGATGCTGTTCAGAACTTTGAGGACCTTGGGCATGAACTTGCAGCTTTAAGACAATTATTTTAAACATTTTCAAGCCTTGATTGTTGTAAGTGGAGGAAAAATGAAGGTTACTTACATTTGACAGCTTACAGAATACTTTCTGTGCTTGGTAGTATTTGCTATTCCACTGCTTTCATTGTGTTGCTGGTGGTGTCTTCTTGTGTCTTCTTGTTTTGGAGCTCTTTGAGAGGAGAAAATAAATTAGTTGTAAGAGTCAGAAAAACAGTTGAGCACTCAGAAGCTGGTTGAGTGCACAAAAGTTCTAGAACGGCTTTGAAAAGCTGAAATGAAACGTTTTGGTCTGCTGACATCTTTTCATAATTCCCTTTCTGCCCTCTCACCTGTCATCTTCACTCCATACTTGTGTTCCTGCCATGTTTCACGTTAGGTTGCCCCACATTCAGGGCTTTTGTCTGCCTTTGAGCCAGCATGTGTAAATATGTCACTCCTCTTTAACTGCCTCTGGAGAGAGGTAGTGTCCCATCCCCGTACATGCAGACAGGCAGATGTCAACTCCCTGCAGTACTTAGCACCTTGCTGTTCCTTCAAGGTAGAACCTGTGTGATGAGGGAACTTGTTACAGATGTTGGATAGGTCTGGTGTCAGTACTGAGTGGTTTGTGAAGAGCGACAGTATCTTCTGCTAGGTTGCCTGATATGAAGTTGGGTATGTGGGGAAAATAGAAGATTTGGAGTCTTCAAGTCCCACCAAACCTTAAGGCTAGCAATGACGGTAAGTTAGGTAGATGAATAGGGACTGCTTTGGCAAACAACCTTGCCTTTGTTACTGTATCAGGTTCTAATAAAATGGTTGAACGTGGAGACTGCTCTGTTTTGCTGAGATCCGGTGCCCTTCTTCCTGATAGCTGCCACTGCAGCTGACTAATGTGGTTTTAAGGGAGTTTTGGCTGGTCGGGTTCCAACTCTCACTGGCTGCTTGAAGTGAAGGCTGCTAGCTGTGTGCAGAAGAACTTGAACCTCAAGGGGGAAGATGTTATTCATGGACTCATTCTTTTAAAACACACTTCCATGTTAACATCAAAACAGGATTTTGAAGGATAAATCCACAAGTGATGTACACGTATGCAGTTACAGTCCTTGAGATTAACCTCCTCTGTTTCTAGAGATGACTACAGTGCTCCTATATGGGATTTTAGTGAAAACTCTCATGCATGATGCTTTCAAGGTACAAGTTGCATAATTTGGCTACAACAGACTGGTGACTGAGTGCTTGTGTTCATGCCCATTTCTCCTACAAAGTGAAGATATGTATTGATGTGTTCTCTGTGAACTGAATCTGTACTCAATCAAAATAAAGCACCCTTTCAAGCTATCAACTGCAAGTGGTTAATGTGTATCACGTGCACGTCATACCCAAAGGATTTTTTATTCATTTGTTGGGCAGTTCATAAGTGTTAAGCTTTTGGTCTTCACCAGTTTGGGAAACAGAACTTCTCATATTTCCATTACAGCATCAATTCTGTGTAAACTGGGCTTTTAGCACTTGGGCAGTCAGAGCCTGTTGTGTCTCTCCTTGCAGAGAAGTATGCATTTCTTGAGAACAACTCATTTATTCTATAGCAATGCTTAGTATGTACATTGACATAATTACTCAGGAAAAGAGTTGCAGCCAAGTGCTTTCTAAGTGTTAAACATTGAAGTGAGATTTCAGAGGACCTGGGGTAGGAAGGCAGGCTCTTTGGGTGGGGAAGAAGCAAGGACAGAATCACTGCCTGTGCTCATCTCTGGACAACATCTGGAGTTTCCTCCCATCAGTTCTTGTTTTCTCCTTTCTAGAGAGCAGCAACGTGAACCCTGTGAAGAGCTGAAGAAGAAACACCTTCTGACTCGGAAGTGGGAGAAACTTGTGTACACAGTTATAACTGGCTTATACAACAGTGGAAGAAGTAGGGAAGGAAATGCTGATGCATCGTAGCCTTTTTTTTTTTTCTTCTTTTTTTTCTCCCCATAACCTATCTGAACTTTAAGGCATTTCGCTGTTTCTAGTTTTTTTCTCTCTTGACTTTGGCACCTGGTCTTCTGTTCCTTTTCTGTGTATCTCAGTGACTTCCTCTTTTGTGCTCATAAGCAATCTGTACCGACTTCCAGCCTCAGATGTTGTCAGTCTTGCCTTTTCATTTTAACCTTTTATTATTGCTTTCAGATCTAGAGCCACCTTGAGCTCAGCTTTCCATCACCTTGTTGTCAGAACTGCTTTTGCCTCTTCTCTGGCTGATGGTTTGAGCAGGTTCCCCTCCAACAAATAGCTTTGTCCGTTCTAGCTGCCTCTGTGGCCAAACTGAAACAGCTGGATTTCTGATATAGCTTATAAGGTACAATTTCATAAGATGAACAAAAAAATGATTTAATTTACATTGACACTGCTTGTTGCTCACTTCAACAGCAAGCTATTGTCCATGCAGCAGAGGGAAGACTTGCAGCTGAATAACGTGACTTTTGCCACTTCTGTAATGTAAGTAGATCTTGTTTCTGAGTCAGTGTTCCAAGGACTTGCTGTCTCCTTATTAAATTTCTCTTGTAGTGAGGATGTAGACAAGATTCCTCCTTTTTTACTTTTTCCCTCAATAGATGCTAGGAGAAGCCTTCAGCAGCCTATTGTAAAAAGTGGTAGTATTCATAATCTTGCTTTGCCATTATCAGAGCATCTGTATGGGTCCTTCTTTGTTTCCTGCCTTCTCAAATGGAATCATGTTAGGACCAGCTTTTAAAATTCTGTTCTGACTTCTTAATTCCCTGAGGACCTCAGTCACTTCTGAAAGGTTTACCTAAGACATGTGTCGCAATGCTAAGCAGAACAACACCTACACACCACTAAAATCTCAGATCCTATGTTCAGAGGACTTGGAGAAGGAATTTAGTAAACCCAGGTCCTTTATCCATGCAGAAGTTCACAGTAACCCACGTCAACCACAGAGAAGTCAGCCTGATGGAGAAGTTGCATTGGTGCCTGAACAAAAACGGGTCAAAGAGGGCTTCCCCTCCTGCAAAGGCCCGAGGTTCCTGAGGCAGTTTATGCAATGTTCTTAGTGGCATTTCGAAAAGACCTTCCATGGATGCATGCATTATTGCTCTTTGCCCACGCCCGTGTGAGAGTGGATTTGGTTGTGGGCCAGAGATGAGGAAGTCTTGCTGCCCCTGGTGGTGCAGTGCTGCTGCTGCTTCAGGCAGACTGTGAGCCGTGCCAGCTCTGCGACGGACCCAGGCATCTTCCACTGGAGCTTACTCTTACTGGGATCCCGTCCCCTGTGCACCAGGGAGAGGTTTAGGGCCGAAGCGTTTCTCTGAGCACAGCGGAGGAAGCTGGAGAGCTGTGCTTGAAGGGGTCTGGCCGAAGCACTGCTGGTCAGCACTCTGCAGATGTCTGGGGTGTGCTCCTGGCTGCGTGGGAGAGGAACAACGGCTGTTCACAGAAATTCCAGTCATCCAGGAAAGCGCCACGTCTGGGGAGTGAGTGGTTGTGCTTGACATGGGGAGTGTGTGTGACCTTCCATGAGTTGGAATACATACAAATAAAACAGGCTGGAATAAAATGAAATTATAAACACATTGGGAATAACAACTGAGGGCTGACTGTTGGATGTGTTGCAAGCAGGAAATGGAACTAAAATTGCTGCACTAATAAATTTCTTGCTGCAAATATGTTGTCTGATGTTAGGCACCAGCTCTGAGAGAAATCTAGCTGAAGATTTACACGCGTTTTAGTATACCCAAGTCTGACACACTCTGCCAAAGGGATACTGGATCTCCTTTTTGTGGGCTGATGTGCAAGGGAATTTGTACACAGTGTTTACAGATAGGCATTTAAACTAACTTCTTACATTTGTTTCTTAGAGAAGGCAGTTTTCTTTTGATGTTGCTAAAGTAACCTCTTTTTTTCCCTTTCTTTTGTAGAGAATATGCTGCCAGGTTCATGTATGGCCGTCTATCAGTGTAAGGTTTCAGGACAGTAAGCTGCAAGCTGCAGAGATATATGGTGTATTTTTGTTTACTCTTCACAGTGATGGAAAGAAGCACCCCTTGCTCATCTTTAATTGAAGTGTATCTTCAGAAGCAATCACTTAGAAGATAACTACAGGAATGAGCAGGCTGGTGACTATCCT